CGCTTTATATACACCAAACAGCTCTAAAGATAGTAGTTCACAAATAAATAACAGAAAAACTGTAAATTTAAGATCTAAATAATTTCTAAATTCAAACAATTTTTTTAAATACAATTCGTAACTATACAACAAAGTAACCAACTGGGAAAATGAGATGACCGGAATGCTTGCACTACTGCCGAGCTGTTCCATTTGGAACCATGCAGGCAAAATATTTCATGATATAAATGACTTTAGAAACATTATTTCGCATAATACCATATACAGCATTAAAAGTACACTCTTTATCGATAAAATTATGCATCTGACTCATAAATAATATATTTTTAGAACTAATTACTCATCTTTCTCGGCTATGATATCAAGCTGTCCTGTCTGAGAACAGGTTCTAATAATCTCTGAATGATAACTAAACAGGGAGTAGTCGGCACAGCAGAACCAAACGTTGCCACATGTACAAGATGTGTATCAAACCTACGTATCCACTTGTATATTCATTTGATCATTCAATTTTATTATGAATCCGTTATTCTCCGCTGCATCCAAATGGAACCGCTCGGCAGTAAGGGGTTAACATGATTATGAAAATAGAGACATGATTTGTGGCGATAAGGTCATGGGAACCCCCGGTTTCAACGTGGCAGTAGGAAACTAAACACAGATACACTGAAAGTATTTGGTGCGGCTGGCCAGCTTCTGAAATATGAGTATTTGGGATTAAAATCGATTGTCTGCCTGACCACATCCTTGCATTTTTAATAATCGTAAATATCTTTTGTGTAGGTACTGCATTAGTTTTTCTCGTGGTCATAAATTTGAGTTCGAATTTCGTTACCGTAATGCTTTGTATATTACTGGTGATCTTAGTGTATCAATGATAAATATTCATGTGTGCGCAGTTATTAAATGTGAGTTTGTTTTATATTTCCAAGGTGGGGCCGGGAGCAAACACTTGCATTGCCAATATCGTCAACTTCTACTGGATGTCAATCATTCCTTTGCGCCTCAAATTTCACCATAGCGATTTAGCCCTCAATAAAATTTTTGGACCCGAGCATTCATCCTTTCAACCAAATTTTGACTCCTGAAAGTGCCAGAGGTAAACTACTCTGGTATCATTACATATGAATATGTTGAAGTTAACTAAAAAAATGCTATATTCAACACATCAATCAGAAATTCATGAAATTGGTAGAGTCTCGATAATACGCAGCTTTTCACGAAATCATCAGGATGATGCATGACTCAATCAAGAAATATAATATTGTCATAACATAATATCAGTATGCAACAGGGCCTAAATACATTCACGTTCAAACGTGGTATTGTTCAAGAAATAGCCTCAGTGATAAGATGTACCTGAGAGCTTTAGCGATACGAAGTATGATAACACCTGCAGATTTTTTTGTGATAACAACTGCAGATTCTCATCCACTGGTACTCCCACAGTTCACTCGCTTAGTTCAGCTCGCGTATTGAAATTTGAAAACTTACTGAATAAGATTTTGACCATTTGAATTGTTTAACTATGTGACGATCAAAGTTTTACTCGTGTTTTAATTTAGCTCCTGCATACAATTTACTGTAATTCCTATGCATGTTAAATAATCCAGAACAATACTATAAAATTTTGGAGGGAATCTGGTATGGGGTTTGTTTAGGTATGGTTTTTACAGTTGAAACTACAATTACATAATTGTTAAACTAAGTAACTGAATCCTCAGTGCTGCGATTTTTGAGTACATCTCTGAAATGTTTCTGGTACATCTCTTATGATGCCATCATTTTGCGTTTATTATCCAGTGTAATAAATTCGTGTTGTCAGAAAATGAGGGAAATCTTCCAATGAGTCTGGAACACTTGTGAAATCATGAAACGATGAATGCAGTTTCGATTTAACACTTATTCAACTAAATTTAAAAAAAAAATATCACAACTCTTCGCGTCCACAATATGAAACTGCGAAGTGAAATTTGAGGCAAAAATAAAAAAAAAAGCAAATTGCTGACTAAATTTCGGATCAGTCTTAAAAACGTTAAGGCATTACATGAATTTTGAGTTTTGTAGGTAGTTAGCAGTTTATTATTCGTAACTTTGATCGTTAGTGGGACGTGTAACTGTAACATATGAATGTGAAAAAATTAATGTCACATAAAAAAGTTAATTGAGGTCATTTATACATTTAATGTCGACTTAGCGTGTTCCGACTCAGTTGAGGCTTACCTGACCTGATGGCAGTAATTCATCTAACTTAATTTGTTTCGACTTGTCAAACGAGGCTGACTTAACCTAATGGCCGTTACTAATCAACCACTTCTATGTGCACATTTGTCCTGTCGTAACCCGTGCTCACTTATTTTTTGTGGCTACACTGGTGCTTTATAAATAAACAGATCAATCAGTAAATATGTCAAATAATTGGGGTTTAGTTAATTATAACGGTAGTTATAATGAATAAAATGCTATGTACAGCCTAAACAAGATTCAGGGCGAAAGGCTTTCTTATTAGGCTGGCTGCAGCCCGTGCTGGTTTTGTGATTTTGACTAGAGAGGTGCCAAAGAAAATATCACAAAGATCATTAATCTATTTAGCTAGTGATCATTCTGCCGTCAAATATGTCATAGAGCAGTGATTATTGACAAGAGGTGCACTCAGTTTTCTCTGTCAACTTTGTTTGCATAAATGAATAATTAAGGAAAGTAGAGTTCTACTGGAATGAATATGGAATTCAAACCATGGACTAAACTGTTACTAGCACTTTATTGAAACTAAAAATTGCTTCCATCATAATCGACAGGTGGTTAATGAGGTTCGTTAAGTGGTTTTGATATATCAAAGACGAATATTTCTGGAAATTATTTAAACCCAATTTGAGGAATTGTAATTCATTCCTCGGCAACTATAACTTTTGACGCACAAAACTTTTCATGCAAAAGATTATTTACTTGCGATCGCGTCATTCCCCTACAGTATATGTAAGCAACTGCGAGATTTTCTCTGGCTTCAAAGGAAGAGCTGGTCAAAATATATTGTGTCATCTTTCAATGTTCATATAATAAAAAACACTTAAAAATACAAAATTGATATCAAACGAAACTTTTTCGGAGATGTTTTGAAAGTTCTTGCAAACAATGACCCCGGACCAAAATCAACATTACTTCTTTGTGTATTGGGGAAAGCTTACGCGGTCAATGTTGTACGTTAAATATGTTTCGAAGCAAACTTCAAACTAATGATTTTTCGTAGAGGATGTCGCGCTTGTTTGAAACTTAGTTGTCATTGTTAGGGGTTTGAGCTAATAATCGCATTTGAACTCGTCACTTTAAAATAGTCACGATTAATGTTCAGAATATTCGTCTTCGGTAAAATATATGCATCTAATATATCTGTTCGACACGGACGGACCGCTCGAGGATTTCTGCAGCTACTGATCACAGAAACATCTTAAAAGCTGCATTAAAGATAAAGTGTCAGACATATGATAGTTAGAAATGAACAGAAATTAATTGAAAACTGCACACCATTAAAAAGTTCTGCTGTCATGCCATCAAACATTAACAGCCAAACGTATAGAATGTATAACCCATCTATATTGATATGAACTTGCCGTACCAACAGCACGAATTCTATGAAAAATCTAACATTTTCCAGATCAAATTTGGATGTTTTCATCGAGTTGACTTTATTTGGAGGAAATTGTCACAGCTTATGTCAGGTGACTGAATACTACCGTATACCGTACCCAATGATCCCATCTGTTTCGTCCAACATGGAAAGTTACTCAATCCTCCGATTTTCATTCAACTTCATTCAGTCAGTCATGGTGCCCTTGTCAGGGCATGCCCAATTAATGTTTCATCTTGTTAGAAACGTGATGCAAATTTATCGAATGGGCCCCAACAAACTTAAATACTGAAAAGTTCTGGGTTCTAGTTCAGAATAAGCAGCCGAGTATGACCTTGTTAAGAATTCGCACCCTTGTATAAAGCTTTAGGAAAATACGCATCATGTAGTTTTCCTGCATTCGTGCTACATTCTGCACGGCCTAGTATATAACGAAGTTAATAATTGTGAAAGTACATTGCAAGAATGGCTCATAAAGTATCTCAAGAAATTGTTTTTCCCTTTCCGAAGAATTCATATCCCCTTCTGATCAAAAATTCAATGGGTTAGGTTAGATAAGGTTTTTGTTTGTATTATTCATTCAATTACTCTTGTTAAGAATAATCACCCCAGACGTTTCTAGAGTGTGTATTCTTAACAAGATCCAAGCTATGCCATAGCAAATGAGAACTGCTGATTGTAGGCAAATGATGCCAAGCAATTTTAAACAATAAATACTTCATAAAAAGCTAATTTGGCCAATAAAACATTGTTGTTAAGACGTTCTTTCACTTCACAATCATTTATTGCTAGAATAAGTACGTATGAATAATTTTAGGAATAACTAGATACTAGAAACAAGATAGCTCAAAATTATTCAAACGACTATCTCCTGCGGTATCTACCTGTAAATCCAAAAATTATGTCTGCGCGCTTTTGAACAAATAGAAATTTTTGGTCAGTAAATACGAAACTATTCTTCGCTTTCTAAATTCTCCTATTACTACCATCTAATCATTTGTCTCAAATAAATTGGCAAAATTTCGAAACCCATCAGCAAAAAGCAGGGTATCAAAACCTAAATACAAAACTATTACCTGCAAAAGCAAACAAATTAGACATGACGAAACAAGAGGGATTGTAAGATTGTTCTCGCACGACTGCTCGGAATAGTACTCGGCATAGCATAGCCAGTCATGTAACGGCCCTTTGTCTCTGGTCTTCTTGAGAGGCTGACTGGGATATTATAGGCTGCAGTACGTTATTTTCAGGTACGAGTGCATTTGGAATCGTTTCTTTATTAAGCGTTTGAGTGGATTATTGTATTATGGTATTATCTTCTCTCTTGTTAATTTATATGTGTAATTTATTGTGTCATTTGTTCATTTCAGCAGGAGAGATTGAAGTCCCTCTCCTCAAAGAAGTTCTTTAGTTTCTGTCACGTTTACGATTTCAAGCTGCTGGGATTTTCCTAAACAAATTCGATCACTTTTTGATCTATTAAATGAAACCGGCATCATGACATAGGAGAGCTTGTCCAAGAATTAAATTTTCAAAATTTGAATTCAGTCATTTACTTGTGATATTTGATCACACATTCGATTAAAATTCGTAGACTATGGATTCTCAGTTTATTAATGATGGTAAAGAATTGGGCTACAAACCTGGAGAAGAAATGCGCGAGTATGTGTTTAAATGTAAAGAAGAACAGAGACTTGCTAAGGAAAGAGAGAGAGAGGAGATGAAAGCTGCAGAAGACGTGCGACGGGAAGAAAGAGAACATGAGAAGGAGATGAAGGAACTTGATCTGATAATAGCCACAATCAACGCAGCTGCCCCTGAAACTTTCGCTTATAATGTCGTGCTATCGGAGGCCATGTCTTCACAACAGAAAGGATTTGCAAACTCCTCGGTATGTTCATTAATGCATTCCATTCCAACTGTTGAAACCTACGAGAATGTCTAATTGAAATTGATGGGCGCGTTTGAATTCACAGTGTACGACTATCACAGGAAATTTCACTCTACGAAGCAGGGATCTAAACCTTTTTACCAGTACGCTCTTAGAGTTTGCGAATATTTTGATAAATTTTGTGATTTGGCAGGTGCTGAAAATCTCTTGAGCGCGTGGTAGAGTTGATTCTTAAAGATCAATAATTAATTCAATTCTGTAGATAGGAATCTCTCCGAATATTTTAGGTTAAACAATATTTTTCATACGCCTTTAGATAGCGTTGTGAAACTTGCCGACAACTAATAGGCAATTCATGGTAGAGATGAATTAAGGAGCAAAGGGACACTTCCTTCAGACTTTGCATCGGGTAAAGTACCTACTTGCTTTCAGTGAGGTCAAATGGTAGCAGTTCACATAACTGTGACATGAAGGCGGGACATGCAATTGTCATACTTCTCATTTGCTCATGTTGTTATTGTTCGGTGCGACCGACACGCTCGCCGGGGGGGAGGCTCTGGTGGTGGACGGGGGGCAGGCACCGGAAGAGGGGGTAGATGGGCGAAGGCAGGGAGGGTGGCCAGGAAAGCCGCCGCCTCCATGAGGCTGTCCCACAGTGAGGAGACGCTGAGACGTGGGGAAGGGGACGCAGGCGAAAAGTTGCTGGACGGACTGGAGGGGATCCCAGCACTCCGGGCAAGCGGAGCTAGGGGAGCGTCCGATCCTAGCGGAATAGGACGCCAGGGAGCTGCAGTATCCCGAGCGGAGCTGGGATAGCGCCGAGCGGTAGGGGCGAGGGAGTGAGGCCTCCATTGATGCAATCGGCGGTGGTGGGGCTGCGATACGGCGTTTATGGCGTCAGTCGCCGCAACGCCGGAGGCGATCTCCCTGCGAAGGGACCGCTTGGCCTCACCGTAGGCACCGGCAGGCATTATGCCATTACCAAGAATGGTGTGACCAGGTGACCGAACCTCGACTGGATGGAGGCTTTCATGGGGCGGTCCCCGAAGGGAGCAGAAACAATGCGGGAAGAGGTATGGGAGGGCTGCAGGGCGCTGGCGAGGAACTGGGCACAAGCCAGATCCAGATGCGCGGATACTGGGAGGACGCCGGTCTCCTGGTGAAGATGGGCGATCGGGGCCATTTTGAGGCAGCCAGTGGCTGGTCTCAATGCAGTGTTTTGTATTAACTGCAGGCTGGCCACTGCTGTACGTGAGGCAACAGGGTACCAGATTGGGGCCGCGTAGTTGAGGATTGGGCGCGTGATGGTTCGGTAAGTGGCAATAATGTACTTCTTGGAGAAGCCCGAGTTGGTACCAGCAAGTGCTGTTGGGATGCGAAGAGAACCCGTCGCTTTCGTGGCGATGGCTCTTGCATGGGGGGAGAATGTGAAGTGCGTATCCCAGGTGACACCCAGGATTTTGTGGGTTTTATCCAGGGGATGACGCCATTGCAGATAGTGGCAGCAGGGTGTGATCGAGATTGGTAGGTGTCTGGGGTGAAGAGCGTGACCGAGGACTTGCCAGGAGCCACGCCCAGTTTCTTGGCAGCCGACCAGTCAGAGACGTTCCGAAGGATCACAGCGATCTCAGCCTCAGCGGCGTCGAGCCTCGGGGACGACACGAAGATGGTAAGATCGTCCGCATATGAGGCAATGTTGGGGGTCGGCACTGGAATGTTGGAGATGAAGTGATTAGAGAGGGCCGGCGAGATGACCGAGCCCTGGGGCACTCCGAAGTGAATAGCTCTGAAAGGCGACTGCGTTCTGAGGTAGAGGCTGGATGCCTGCCTGCCTCTACGGTAGCAGCACAGTCAACGGACCAGGTTATGATGTAGGTCCGAGGCCGCGATCATGCTCAGAAGAGGGTAGTCGACGGTGTCGAAGGCTTTCGAGAGGTCGACTGCAACGGTGACTGTGCGGGCTGGAGGGCGCCGAGTAAAAACCCGTCGCGATCTGGTGCGCGAGCGGGAGGAGGGCGGTGACAGTGGAGTGTCCCGGCTTGAAACCATGTTGCGAGGGGACAGTGGTAAGAGATCCCAAGATGTAATGGAGCACGAGACGCTCTAGGATCTTGGCTGCAGGGCAGAGGAGGGAGATAGGGCGGTATGAGGAGCCCTGGTTACCAGGTTTGCCCGGTTAGAGGATTGGAGTAATTATTGAATTTTTCCAAATGGATGGGAATAATTATTGAATTTTTCCAAATGGATGGGATAGAGGCTGTGGAGACAGAGATATAGAAAATGTGGGTGAGAAACTGGAGGATACGCGGGCCGAGGTGCTCGAGATGAAGAACCGTGAGGCCGTCAGGACCCCGAGCGGAAGAGTTCTTGGCGGCTGTGATGGCGAGCTTCACCATGTCGGGGGTGAAAGGACAGAAGTCCCTGTCGAGGGGATGTTGGGCTCGGATTCGACGAATGAGGCTGCGGGTGGAGGGGCTCTTAGCGTTAGAAGCGACCGAAGTGAAAATCTTGCAGAAGGCGAAGGAAATCTTGCGCTGGGAGGAAGGAGGGATTTCAGTCCAAATTGGATTGGCTGATTAGGGGGAGGGCGGTTGCACTTTCCGGCTGGGGAGCGGAGGAGATTCCAGTGTTTGGATTGGTTGGTACGCCTGCTGCAAGACGCAAGATGAGTTTGCCAGGAGTTCATGGCGTGGGCCTGTATAGAGATACCGATTTCCAGATTAAGTTCTGGGAGCCAAGGGTCGATTGGGTTGCGCGCTCTAATGTCATCCCGTTGTTCGATGAGCAGCCGGGTGCTAGGGTTGACTGATGGGAAGAAGTCCTTCCTGAATCCGGCAGGGATATGCTGTCTGGCAGCGGACGTCAGGACTTCTCTCAAGGTCGACTCTCCGCCACACAAGGTGGGGGGAGGGACCGTCTCGAGAGCCGCTGCGATGGCTGCCGTGTAGACGGGCCAGTCAACATTTTTTAAACTTGACGTAAGAGCGGGCGGCACGGGGGTTGGGGAATCAGCGGAGGAAGGGAGATTGATCAGGATGAGCAGGTGGTCCGAGTTGAGGGCGACTTGAGGAGTCCAGGAGGTGCTGAGGAGTAGATGACCGCTGATGATGGCGAGGTCCGGAGAGGAGGGCGGGCCATGGGAGGGGAGGCGGGTATGGGAGTCCTCATTGAGGAAGGCGAGTGAGGAACCAGCGACAAGGTCGTCGACTGCGGCTCCTCGCGCTGCGGCTCTCTGGTCTTCCGTGTGGGAGAACCAAGAGGGATGATGGGCGTTAAAATCGCCCACCATCAGGCAGTCTCCCGGGATGGAAATAATTTCTGCGAGCTCCGGGGAATATCCAGGGGGGCAGGAGGAGGCCGGTGGGATTCCGGGACGGTCCCTACGCTCCAGCGCGTATCCAGGGAAATAGGGGGGGCGGGAGGCCGCTGATAGCTAGGTCTCCTGGATGCAGGCAATCGCAACATCTTGCTGTGCGAGGAAAGCATCCAGTTCAGCTGCGCTGGATTGGATTCCATTGCAGGTAAACTGGAGGACGCAGAGGCGAGTGGAGGCAAGCGCCGGGGGGCGAGGGAGCGGAGTCTGGGTGGGCTCGGGTCAGGCCGTCTGCACGTAGGGCGGAGTAGAGGTGAATGGAGCGAAGCGGAGCACCTCTTGTGGGTCCAGGCATTGAACATGGAGCACAGGAATGAATATCTTCGCCACGTAACTGGGAGGGAGCAGACTGAGCAGGGATGCGGGCCAGGGTTGGCATGGATACCCTGGGTCAGAAAGGGAAGGACGAGTAGGTAGAAAAGATAGGAGGAGAGGAGGGCATAAGTTGTCCCAGGAAAAATAAGCGGCCAAAGGTGTGGGTAAAGGGAAGGGGAGTCCGAGGTTCCCCTACCCTTAGGGGAAAAATGGGAAAGGAGCCTCCGTCCGGGTGCGTTCCGGGCGGGGGAGCCTCTGCCGTTTGGCCTGACCCACGAGTATGCCGGGCATCCGGCCGACGCGCAGGCCAGGGTACCCCCACGACGAAGACGCGGTAGACATCGGGGACTTTCATTTGCTCATCATCACAGCAGGCTTTCTTCCAGATATAGCAAACTGGGCCATGTAGCTAAATTCTTTCGTTCTAAACTAGCCGCAAGCAGAGTTAATTCATGTGTGAACTTTTTTTGCCAAATACTGTGCTGATCATTCTAACATAATTTCTGTTGTTAAATTTAAATCGAAGATCATGATAGATCAATCCTTGCCTGTAAAATCTGGTTTTTGTAATGAAGAAGTCAAAATTTTGCGTGCTATCAGTGCTACCAATCTTCTAGCTTGTTAAGAAGTCACTTGTGCTAAAAGTCAGAGGACTGGAGAAAACATTCTCTAAAATCGGCAGATAACCGAACCGTAAATGCTCCTAAAGCTCGGTTGAATTTGGACTGTGTTTTACAAGGGAATTTCAATGCTGCTTATTGTCTGAACTACTTTTTGACGTTGTCCTGGCGCCGTATGTGCATGCACGACTAACTTATCTGTTCCGACTATTTACTCTATTCAAACTAGGAGTAAGAAACGTTCTGAATCTGATCTAGCAAGTCAATCACCCATGTCGGGGAATAAAATTATGTTCGATTGAAATTTCTTTCCATTTGCAGTTACCTAAAATTGAAAATTTATTCTTAACTTATAGACGCTTATTCGACCATCTAGGCAAAATTTTCACTAGAGAAGGATGTATTGACTAGACAAGCATGTGATAGGAAGTCGGTGTTGAATATTGTGAAACAGATTGTGTTACCTTCAGAAACGAGTAATGGAATTAGCACGTGACTGTATTACTGCTGGAGGCTTGGCGTTCAAAAAACGAAGAATAGAGTAATGGCACATTTCTTTTGGCCCGGCTGTCATTAGGATATTAGTCTGTTCTGTATTCCATCTTCTCACTGACAAAAATTTGCATGTAATCATCCATCTAAAGTACTGATCAAAATGCCTTCAATTGGAAGACAATTTCAGAGGGTAACCGTGGACATCATATGACCATTGCCGAAAAGTCAGAAAGGTAATCAAAAGTATAAATAGCACCTCGTACAACCCGATATGCAATGCGACTTTCGAGAATTCTGATAAGTCTTTGAAAGGCATGCCAGAGAAAATTTGTAACAAAGAACATTCTGTTTGGGATTGATATTAACAGCCTTTATTATTTGTCCACAGGGAAGTGCCTCAGATAATCACTGGATTTTCTCCCATTGAATTACTTGTTAGGTTTTAAGTTAAAGGACCTTTGTTTCTTATTAAGTAGAATTTCTTAGACGATTGTTCAGAATGTGAAGATATTTCTGTAACTGAATATGTTGTTGCTTTGAGAGTACGTCTTGAAGAATTAATGCGTCTGTCGAATGAAAATGGATAGTTGAACAAGGCTAAGAAAAAAAATAGTACTACTGCATAACTTATCATGCTAGAAAGCTTAAGGTTGGGGAAAAAGTTTTCTTACTGCTTCCTACCAGCACCAGTAAACTATTAGCAGAATGGAGAGGGCTTTTCCAAGTTGTGAGAAGAATTAATAAGGGCTTCTATGTTATTAGTTAACGATTGTGAACGTACTTACCATGTTAACATGTTGAAGATATTCAGGGAACGCAAAAACCAAGTCAGACTCACAGCCTACTGCTGCATTATCTTCCAGAACGCGAATGATGTACCTAATGATTTAAAAAATAGCAAGGATTTGAAAGATACATGACCGTCATCATATTTTGGATGTGTTGAGGGATAATGGAAACGTTTCGACGATGTGCCTGGCAGAGTAAATTTTATGAAGTATGAAGTTGTCATTGCTGATTTTGTGAAACCTGTCAGAAGCGTCCTACAGCGAATAGTAGAAGCGTCCTACATCGAATAAGTTAATAATTTTGTTAACACTGATAGTGTTATTAATAGTGTTATTGAGACGCTCCATGTTGATCTTGAAGCAAAGTTTGCTAGCAAACTAGGTTTGACTAAAGCATTTTTTGCAAATTCCTTTGACAGAAAATTAAACTAAGTATACTTCTTTTGTAATGGATATTGGTCAATATGAATTGAATGTTTTTCCTTCAAGTTTCACCTTTGCTAGTGGCTTATGTAATCTTGTAATTAACCTCGTATTGCAAGACTGCCGTAACATGTAGCAAACTTAGTTAATGACCTTGTGTTTAGTTCTAATTTTAGGGATCATTTGCATCATGTAAATTTAGTTCTTAAGAATCTGGACAAGGTCGGACAATGCAGAGGTGACATTTCTAGGCTTTGTCGTGGGTAGGAACTAGATTAGAGTTGATGAGGAAAAATAAGATAGATTTGCGTTCATTCGTTGCATTAATCAACTTTCACAGTAAATTTGCTCCGAATCTAGCTACATATGCCTCACTCTTTAAGGATACTTTTGAAGAATTGCTGGCCTGATAGGATTGTATGGACAGAAGAATTGCAAACATGTTTCTCGAACAGTGTATCATGTTGAGCAAAGAGCAACTCTTTGCACATTCCCTACCCTGGTGCCAAATTTGTTCAAATCGACGCTTCAACCTTAGGATCATAGGAGCCGTTCTAGGGCAGAGAAGTAATAATGGGGAAGATAGACCGATTTCATGTATTAGTAGAAAGCTGAAAAATGCGGAGAAGAATTACGCAATAGAATTAGAATGTTTAGCAATCAACTGGGCCATTGAGAAATTTCGCAATTATTTATACGACAGTAAATTCACTGTATGAACTGATCACGCTCCATTGATATGGCTGAACGAAAACAAGTGTCTTACAACTCGTAGAATGCGCGGGCTTTGTCATTGCAGAATTATTCTTTCGATATGAAGTATGTTAAGGGTTCTGAAAACCTTTTGGACGCGTTTTCTAGGTATCCAAGTTCTTTTTAGTGAACTGGGTTTGAGAAAGAGGGATGGTAAGATTGTTATCCGCACTACTGAGCGGAATAGTACTTGTCGTAAGGCTTAGCCAGTCGTGTAACGGCACTTTGTCTCTGGTGTCCTTGTGAGGCTGACTTGGATATTATAGGCTGCAGTACGCTATTTTCAGGTACGAGTGCCATCTGGAATAGTGTTCTTAAATTAGTGTCTAAAAGGATTATTGTATTTTATTATGCTATTCTCTTCTTGTCTTGTTCATTTCTATGAGTATTTAGAGTGTCATTTGTTTATCTCAGCAGGACAGTGTGAAGTACCACTCAACTCTGTTGTCCTTCAATTAAGTCACGTTTACGATTCCAAGCTGCTGGATTTTCCTGAACAAATTGAAAACTTTGCAGTCTGTTAACTGAACCCGACATTATTACAGGGAGCAACGTCAGAGATTCTGCCGGAGACAAAGCAACAGCCCGACGATGTGGACGCGAGCAAGTAAGTATAATATCTCACGGAAGAAGGATTATTACATTATGGTAAAAATACATTTTAAAATAACATATCCACAATATTGTTTATCTGTTCCTTTTATGTTCGTAGCATTTCAATCCTGGAACAGTATTGGCATAGGCTCATCACAATAACAATTCTCACTATTTACACAATAATAGTTCTCTTAATAATAGTTCTAACCATTTGCGATAGAAATTTTTCCTCTATCATTCATATCGGAGATTTGATTGCGCGCATTCTTATGCACAAATAAATTACCTCATAAAAAATTTGTTAATCCCCTTTCTGATCTATAAGCCAGGTTAATATTTAAATAACTATGTTCTTCTGAGTACATAAAACTTCTCAAGGCTTTGCATTAGAATTGTTCGCGCCGAAACGGTGGAGGGCCGCCCTGTCAACGTCAGCACCCAGACGCTAGCAGATGACGAGTTCTACAACATGAACCACAAGCGCAGGGGTGACTGCATCATCTTTTCTCACGACAAATATGATAGTAAGGTGTGCGTAAGGCAAAATTTTGATTATATTTCACCAAACCGTAACATGACAGACGCTCAATATACACGGTAATCAAATTTAGTCTCAATTAATTACGCTTGTCCAAAAGTTTCTGAAAATTAATTAAGTTTGATAATTAACACTTTCCAACGGAATCGCACGGAATATACACTTCAGTGTGTGATATTTTTTTACAATATTCACACTCGTAACGTGTTAAGGAACATGACCTTAAAGATTATAATGATAATATTTTATACCTATCATTTAAAAGCATTGACAACAAATGACTTTCAACAATTAGTTTGTGCTAAATCCGTATGACACGACTTACATTTCTTGATCTTCATTATTTTTCAAATTGTAGCTTGGTCCGCGCGACATGTCACCCGACGATGCCCAACGGTGCCGGGAGACATTCCAAAAACTCGGGTTTGAGGTTCAAATTCACACGAACCTGAAGGAAAAAGAGCTTCTCGATAAACTCCAAGAAGGTGAGGAGATCAACTTTTTATGCACCTATTTTGCCATTTTTTTAGGTATATTTTTCCGAAATCTAACAGACACCTTGGGCGTGTTGTAAAAAATATTAATCAGAAAATATTCTGTCTTGGGGAGCTCTCATAAAAGCTGAATCAATTCCGAATTTTGAGAACAATTTATCTACTTTTGTGAACAATTCCTATTCAATTTCTCCGCTGTTTCCTCACTACAGTGCATATTATTTTGATTACTCTCTCTCTCGCCTATCTCGAAAGTATTTGATATCAATTTCAGCTTAAAATATCAGGTTTCAAATATAAAAGCAGACGCTTTGATAAAAAAGCGACAATGAATTTCAAAGACAGATTTTTTTAATGTTGTAGAGGAGGGAAATGCCGCTTTTATAGAAGTCTTTCATATTGATCCTCTTTAGCGCATTTTCTCATTTATGGAAAAAAAGGCGCTATTGTGTTCGTCATGTTGGTCCGTGACTTCACGTCACGGACGAACGAGAAAATGCGCTCTTTGTCATTCACTGCAGCGTGTACTCAGTTATATTTTTTAATTAAATGGCTTCAAAAGTCCGTGCGATGTAGCCGGATCCACTCTGTATTGCAGAATAGTACCTCCAAATCTCGCTTCAAATCTTGATCCGAAGTCTTGACCCGAAGCCTCCAACTTACAATCTGTAATCTCCAACTTTGTCGTTGTTTAATGAAAGCTTCATGTTTGATCGCCAATATTCTCCCTGTCGGTGATTCTGTGTTGAACTGCAAGTATTGTGACGAGCTATGATTGGGTTATTGCGAATAGGATAAAGTCTCACGTTACGCCCAGTTGGTACTGGCCCCGTAACATATTGGTGCCGTGACCCCTTCTTGTTGTCATCTTGGTTTTGCTAGTATCCTCGGGCGGAATAGCCTGCCGGTGAGAATTTTTTTCGCGGTGGCTCATGTGTGGAATCCAACAATAGTTTATGTTTTCTTGATTGCAAGGTCAAAAAATCCGGTGGTTGTTTCCAGACATCTGTGTACAGAAAATCAACATTTACCGGCTTATGCACCAGCTTTTTTAGCTTCTGTTCTTTTCGTTTCAAATTAAATGAGATTCAAACATTATTAAACCGCGGTTTCCGAATTTGCTCTACTTTACATAGTATGCACACTGAATTTGAATATTTGCGCAGTATGTTCTCACTGAATGGGTTTCCTTCACAATTTCTGTACACTCAAATTAAGAAGTTCTTGTCTAAACAATATGCTGAGGTGGTTCCCGAACGTGACGATAGGAATCGTGTTTATTGTTCTTTTTCTTACTTTGGCCCCGCATCTGAGACGATGGCAAAGGAGTTGAAAGATCTATTCTCTAAATATCTCCCAAATGTAAATCTTAATGTATTGCTAGTGAACAATTTTAAAATTAGCTCCTTTTCAAGTACAAAGGTCCTATCCTTGTTCTTATGCGATCATCCCTAGTTTATCAATATAGTTGTGCGCAGTGCGCATCTGCGTATGTCGGTATGACATCGCGCAATTTTTATACTAGGCTTGCAGAGCATAGGGGCAGGAGTTATAGAACAGGGAACATACTTGCGCATCCCCCTCTATAAATTGAAATGATACCTAGTGGGGCAACGGGTCCATGCGTGTCACGGGGCAAAGCGCCCATGGTGGGCTCAATATCATACTGTGAAGTCTTGTGTTATACATCATTAGATTTGTCTCAATGAGCTTCTCAAAACTATGACTAGCTTTTTGAATTATAAATTACACTTCATATTGTATGAATTTTATTATTTGCCGCCTCAAAGCAGCAGGTTCTAATTTCTAGTTATGCTTATGACCCCGTATCGAGTTACTGACTCATGCCTTGCCATAAGTTGATTTCAGTCAACACCAATGAGCCAAAAGTTGATAAGTTTTCATGTGTTGGCTGAAATCACGATAAAGTACGAATTCCCTGCACATAATATCTGGATTATGGACGAAACTAGAACGAAGTTTTTTCTGATCACGTAAATATACTTTTTTTAGTCAAGGATACATTTTTTTATGTCGTGGATGAATTTTTATGGCAAGGATATATTTTTCTATTCAAGGACATATATTTTTATTCACATGAAATATTATTTTTCGCGTCAGTGATAGATTTTTAAAGCCAAGAATATATTTTTTTCGTTTTAACGATATGATTTTCTAAGTTGTTAATAAATAAATGAATGTAATATTTTTTATTACATTTTTCTTATTTTTAACTGTTAAGTGTTATTTTATAATTTTTAAACAAAAAATATGCAATTGTGATAAAGGGACCAGGAGTGGGCGCCTTGCCCCAAGCCCGCGGACCCATTGCCCCAGGGGTGGGGGCAATGGGCCCAATTTGACACTTTTTCAAAAATAGTGTTTCATTAAAAGTTGAATAAATTATATGTGTCTAATTCACATCAATAGAAATTACCTCTCGGCTACACAGCGAGGGTGCTAGTGTTCAGATCAAAGGTTGCGCAAGTATTCCTCCGGGGTGGGTAGACCACACAAGGCAAGTTTTTTTGGAATGTGAAACTTTTCACGGAATGAGTAAAGACAATTCTAGCGACCAGGGAGGGAAATGATTGAATCAAAATGATTAAATCATGTGATTAAATCATTTTATTTGTTTTTTAAATCATGAATTAATCGATTTTTTATATTTTTGATTTTTTTATATATATTTAAATATATTGAGTGGCAGTCTTTAATTTATTTTGAGGTATTGTTATTCATGGTTTAGTATAAATGTACTATGAATGACAAATTGGTATATAAACTTGTTGCCTTTATTGTGTATTAGGTTCCAATAAATTGAATGTTTATGGGACAGAGGCATCAAGTGTTGCAATACATTTTACATAGCTAGCAGCTAAGCTAATTCTTATAAAGCTATAGGTAGTCTTCAACTATTTGTCATATATTGATTTTAATATACAATTTGAATGTGTTAGCTAGCTCATACAGGGTGGGGCAGGACCGATTGAGCAGTTTTGAGGCAAAATAAAAGAGTAATGGAGGTACATATAAAGAAGAAAGTTTATTTTCCTCGAGATTAGCATAACATACCTTTCAAGTTGTAAAATAAAATAAAAACCGTATGTTTTGAAAACAATATTAGGAAGATGGTGACTGTTAGCTGCATCACACTGTTGGAGTCGTCCTCGGAAGTTTCCTACAGCACGTTCACACATATGGCAAGGTATGGCCATAACCTCTGCTGCAATAATCAGTCCCCTTAGCTGTGGTAGGGTGTGAGGGCAACTCCCCAAAGAAATAAATCGCAAATGCTCAAATCAGGTGACCTCACAGGCCACTGTAAATCACTCCTCAGAGACACCATACCTCCGGGAAACATGCGTTTCAAAACATTGAGTAACATTCGGGCTGTGTGAGCTATAGCCCCATCCTGCTGGAACCACACGTCTCCAAATGGTTCATTTTCAACAATGTTTTCCATCCTGGGCTGCAAGAAATTTTGCAACATTGCAGCATAGCGATCGGAATTAACTGTCACGGTTACTCCCTCCTCTGAGAATACTACTAGTTGGTATGTTTAGAGGGTAGAGTCTGGTAGATTTATAGGACATATAACTAGTAGATCTATTGATAGTGTTTTGCACTGTGCTATCAGCTACATATCTGTTACTGTTATGTGACTCTTCAATGTTTAGAAGATCTGCGTTCCTGAAGTGTTTTTATATATTGAAGCCAGTTAAATGGTCAATATTTAGCTTCTTAACTTGCTCCATACAAACTTTACAAAGCTAATGAATAGACCTATCAATAATTGTTCACCCAAAAATCCCAAAATGGTAAACACCACCTTGGCCTGTTGGCCATTAATGAAGACAATAACTGCCCTTTTTTGCCATCCATTATGATCCATATACTCATATTGTTAGTAGGCTAATTGCAACCTAAAAAAACCTTTTAAAAAGACAAAAAATCTGAAAAAATCAAAATAATCAAATAAATAAAAAAATCATGAAAAAAAGTCAAAATAATCAAATAAATCAAAAAAATTATGAAAAAATCAAAAAATCATTGATTTTTTATTTTTTGATTTATGAAAAAAATCACCAACCCTGCTAGCGACATAGGAGCATCAGCTAAGCGAAGAGTTATGAGTATCAGGAAGGAACTAGGATTAAGAGCTCGAAGTAGGAGTAGCAGTCCATTCGATTGTATTTGTGAAGGTCGATCAGATGATCACTTAGAGCAAACAAATGACGCGGCTAGGGACGAAACTTGATAAAGAGAAACGAAACCTTTTTAAAAGTGCATGGACCGTTGACACGATCTAGAGCTCGCACTAAAAACCTGGACAGGGTACAAAAGAAAGCAATTGAGTATCAATGTAGGAATGAACGGAAGGCCAGTACATAATTCTTCTTTAAATTGACGAATATTGTGAGGATAATGTGGCAGCGATGGCTGTCATCTGTTGGGTGCGTTGCTTAGCCCTCGAGAAAGAGTACGCTTCGGAGCAAATGTGGAGAGTGATGCTGTGAGTGCTGGGTGGCGTGACTATTGTGTCGTTGCATGCTCGTGGTGGGACAAGGTCGATAAGTTGACGTTGTTACATTTGTCGCTCGTACTTGTACATCAAACAAGCACGAACCCTCAAAGTAACTGGCGATGTCTGCTGTGGCGTCTGCTGATATTGAGGAGCAGCAACGAACGAGACGAGCCGAAACTCGACGGCACTAATCCAAGCCAGACATCTACGGCTCCTTGATGAGATTCCTCATGGAGTTCGATGGATACGCTAGAATTCCTTACTGCGGCATTACGGCCGATATCTGGACCAGCAACAGCCCACAACTTGGACCAGACCTGAACGAATATATTGTTTGGTTTCCTTGTGCATTTCTCTATTTCTTTATGTCAGTTTGTCATGAGACACACTTGGTGGGTTGATATGTGAAGGAGGGAAATGCAACTTTTATAGAAGTCTTTTATATTGATCCTTCTTTTAATGAAATGGCTTCAAAAGTCCGTGCGATGTTGCCGGATCCACTCAGTATTGCGGAATAGTAGCTCGATAGGATCACTCAATCTGCGCCACCATACGGGTAGAGAGGCCTCCAAATCTTGATCCGAAGTCTTGACTCCAAGTCTTCAGCATACAATCTATTAACTTTGTCGTTATTCAACGAAAGCTTCATGTTTGATCGCCTTTATTCTCCTTTTGGTGATTCTGTATTGACCTGCAAGAAGTGTGACGAGCTATGATTTGGTTATTGCGGATAGGATATAGTCTCACGTTACGCCCAGTTGGTACAGGCTCCGTGACAATGTCTCGCTGAATTTATTACGCAGTGAGCGAGCGCGACCACAGCGACTGCGATGCGTTGGTCATCGTCTTCATGAGCCACGGCGGAAACGATGAGGGCTTGGAATATTTGTGCGCCTACGACGACAAGTTCCGCACCACGAAGTTGTGGGAGCTGTTCACGGGGGACAAGTGCCCCACGCTGGCGGGGAAACCAAAGCTTTTCTTCATTCAGGTGGGAGAAACGCACATAGAAATTAATTAGGGTCATTGTTTGCGTACTTTTTAATATCAAACCACTCAAACTGGAGATTTTTGAAGTAATTGAAAATCAATTTGATGAAGATCCATTCCAATAGTAAAAAATATCTAGCTATTTTCATAATGTAATTTCGACGAAAAATATATGACTGTATTCTCGATGCCAGTTAGTTAGTTTAGTGGCCACATGTTTACTAGCGCTTCAGCTACTTATCTATCTCGCACCGAAAGTCATGATGAACATCACTAAAGAGGTGCAAAGTCTCAGTTATCGAAAGTTTTTCCATCGGTGTCTACCATCGGTGTCTGCCATTCGATAGAATCCCAAATATTTCTGCAAATATGCCCGGTCAAAGGCCAAAATCAGAGCCTCAGTGGGGCCTCTGAAAAATAACGATGTCCTTGTTGGAGACGACCAGGGCATGTGCGAACTTCTGGGAACTCAATTTGAAAAAGTATTTAGCGAACCCCGATACTCAAGACAGGAGAACGAAATTGGAGTCATTCAAGAACTTCCAGGGGAGCGGGAGCTGATGAACATTGAGTTTGAAACACCGGATCTAGAGAGGAGTATCCAAGAATTATCTACTTATTCGGCTCCCGGGCCTGCAGTTTTACTGAAAAAATGTGTCAGTGCACTAAAGGTCCCTCTGACTTTGCTCTGGAAAACATCATTGAGAGAAGGAAATGCTCCAAGTGACCTAAAATTAGGGTTATTACCCCTATCTACAATGGAGGTGCAAGAGACAAACCCCAAAATTACAGGCCGGTTACATTAACATCCCACGTAATCAAAGTATTTGAGAAGGTTGTTGCCAGAAGGTTGGTGCAGTACATATGGAAGACGCTGACCTTTTCAACAGAAGGCCACACGGTTTTCGACGAAATCGTTAATGTTTGTCTCAGTTACTGGAGCATCACCACCAAATCCTGGCCATGCTGGATGAGGGGGCCGGGGTGGACGTGGTGTATTTGGACTTCACGAAAGCGTTTGACAAAGTTGACCATGGAGTGCTCTTCAGAAAATTAAGACTGCTGGGAGTCGGAGGTGAATTCAAAAAGACCTCTCTGCAATATATGACTGGGCCCAAGTGAACAACATGCAGATCAACGGGACCAAGTTTGAGGTTCTGAGATACAGAGGTAGCGGAAGAACTGATATAAAGCACCGCTACTTAGTACCTGACAACTCGGAAATCGAAGAGAAGCGACTTGTTCGTGATCTAGGAGTGTTGATGAATACTCAGGTCAATTTTGGTGGTCACGTAACGGCAATAACCGCAAGAGGTAGGCGACAGATGGGGTGGATCTGGCGGACGTTCAGAACAAGAGAAGCGGAACCAATGATCACACTCTTTAGAGCCCTTGTAATACCAATTCTTGAATACTGCTGCCAGCTCTGGACCCCGTTCACACTCGGCGCAGTGCAGTAACTGAAAGGTGTCCAGCGAACCTTCACTTCCAGGATCAGAGGGATGGAAGTTGAGGAGCCTGGGTCTGTACTCACTGCAGAGACGAGAGAGGTATGTCATTCTGTACCCATGGAAAATGATAACCGGAGGTGCCAAACTTCGAGAGGATTGAGACATATTATGTACAACGAGAGAAGGGGGAGACTGTGCAAGATCCCCCCATTACGTAACAGATCCGCAGTCAGATTTCAATCCCTGCGGTAAGGATCACTTTCCGTGGCAGGGCCAAGGCTGTTTAACGTCCTATCAAAGGATCTAAGAGAGGGAGAGTTCACCCTGGAGACCTTCAAGAGACAACTGGACGTTTTCCTGGGCACAATCCTAGATCGACCTCCCCTGCAACACTAGCAGCGGCGAGAAGCAAGCAACAGCATCGTGCATCAGGTGGCCCAAATGAGGGCGGATGAACGATATAATCAGAAGCGGCAATCCATCGTGCCCTGGGACTGCTACGTCCCAAACAAGTACCAAGATTACCAAGAAAGATTCTCAAATCAAAAATTGTTCATAACCCACGAGGGGTGGAAAGTCTCAGATGTCCAGCCCGCTGAAACTGGCTCGAAAGAAGCAGCGTTAGCATCTCAAAGAGACGAAGTGACAAGGAGGGACAGGTGAAAAGTAACAGAAACGAAGACACTCGAACAAGAGGTCGCTTACACGGGACGTCGGCCGCCCGCACGAGAGAGAGAGAGAGAAGGGAAATGTAAGGAATCCTACCTACATGATGGCTTAACCCCACAACTGAGATCTGCAGTCAGACACCGCGCTCTCAGCGGTGGGGCGCTCAGGAACAATCCCCCTATGAGCGCGAAATCCCATAGGACTTCTGACGAGCACAGACACGCGTCACAAGTCCCCCTTAGGGTTTCTCGTTGCTAAATTGTAAGACGTTTTTGCCCGCAGGCTTGTCGCGGCGTAAAGACAGACAAGGGCGTGGGGCTGCGCGTGACCACCGACAGCACCGCAGACAAGGAGAAGGAGTATGTGCTACCTGCACACGCCGACTTCCTTATCATGTGGGGGTCCTTCGAAGGTCAGGATGAAATGTGTCGAGTCCTTTGATGAACATAATAAAATGCGCTGGGTTCCTCGAAGATCTGTATAAATGCACTGGGTCCCTTGTATGATGGGATAAAATGTGCTGGATCCTTCGAAGGTCAGGATAAAATTCGTAAGGTCCTTCGACGGTCAGGGTGAAATGCGATGGGTATTTCAACTGCTAGGATAAATTGCGCTTGGTCCTTTGAAGGTCAGGATACAATGCACATAGTCCCTCTCTATCTCGAAAAGGTGAGGATTAAATGCTCTCCATCTTTCGTAGGTGACGATAGAATGCGCTCTTTGTTTACCCAAAGCAAAATCGACCAACCCAAATACTGCACCAACTTTTAGCTGAGAATAGAGTGCTGAGGTTTCACATCCGAGAATTGAAAAATTTTTTGATTATCCTCAATGCTAATTGGCGAACTTTTAGTCAATTTATAACAAACATATTAAAAAAACGAGGATAAACATTTAACTTTTGAATCACTATCGCCGATTTGCATCAACAGCGTTTTGTATTAGCAGGATAATATTAGAGTGAAGAAGGTGCATTTACATGCCCAATCAGTACCTAAATTACAGTACAAAAAACTACAGGGCGGTAATTTATATCAAGAGGAAATTGACACGAAAATCGAATAAGTGTGTAAAATGATCAAACTTTAGATATGATACTGGAGGGTAAGTAAATCTAAAGGCACAAAGCCCCAGCAGCCGTAGATTGCAGCCGACAGGTTATAAGTTGCAAAAGAAAACGAGCATCTTTTCATTTGGAGGCAACTTAGCTCTCAAAATTCAGTTTAATAATCACTCCTCGAAGTCTGGAGCATACGTAAATTCCTTCTTCCACTGAGGAATTGAGTGTATAGAAGAAATGCCATCCACCCTCAATGTGTCTCTGAGAACTGGATCTTAGTGAGAACTTAGAACTGGAGTTGGTGGAGCTTCTCAAAAGATAAGTTATGAGTGCAGTGCATAGAGTTTGTTCGTGTTGACCGTAAACTTTAGATTAGTTAATATAACTCAACTTGTAGGAATTTTACGATCAAATTTCAAGTTGATGAAATTTCAGCCCAAAAATTAATCTTGTCGATTAAGGATAAACTTTTTATTGAGAAGGCTTGCCTGCGTTCAACCAGTCCGGAAGCGACATAAATGAAAGCGTCATAAATGGAAGCGTCTTCCTTCACTTCCTGAGCCTCGCCCTGAAAGAGGAGGGCACCTCGACTCCCCTCATGGACATCCTCATCAAGGTTAGTCGTTCAAATATTGAGACGAAACTGTGCTTAGCATTCATAAGAAATTTCAGTGGGCAAAAACTGGGTCAGAATGGCGCACACAAGGGCAAGAAGTGGATCGCAATTTGGGAAAAATCTCACGTATTTCTGCGCGTGTACCTGAAGAAGAGGCCACCACAAACGTCTTATACTAAACTGTGATTGATTGATTTAGGGTGAGGTCACTGAACTCGTATAACCGTGAATATTTTTGCAAGCAATCTGAACACAAAGATTATCACGCTAGAGCTAAGTGACACGACATGAAAAATAGAGCAGCATTAAGTAGCGAGAGAGAGCTTCATGAACAGTAGCTGATAGTCTAGAGTGGTAAATGGAAAACGAAATCCCACATATCTGGGAGACTATTATGCAACAAAAAATTAAACCGTATACTCAAAATATATCAGTGTAAGTTAGTTCGAAATATTGTATGCTTTGAAATACTAATCAGTAATATTAATTTATTATTCAGCGGTATAATGAAGCAGCTTCTTCATATTTTTATTCATGCTTGACAGTTAAGAAAGAATTTTCCGTATCCAAATATTTTTTTGAATTCATCATGCGTTTTCTACAGGTGACCCGGCGAGTTGCGCTTGACTTCGACGTGGTTGTACAAGGCCACGAACATCAATGGAACAAGCAGGTGCCCAACATCTCCAGCACGCTCACCAGGAAGCTGCTCTTTACTCAACCAAGCAAGAAGTAACCATGCACGAAAGATTCGGAACGCAGAAGTCTTAACTAGACTATGTTATCACTAGTGCCTCAAGCTGGTTTCTAATTATGCTCAAAGCATCAAATTAATACCTTATAGGCAGTCGAGTCCCAGCACACTGAAGTAATAATGGTGAACTGCCGTTAGTTTTTCGTTACACATAAAAATGAAGAAACCGAATGACCAGTGGCTTAAACAATCAAGAACGCAAAGTCTACCTCTTGGAAAAAGAGGTAGGTATATAAAACTAATCAATTGAAATTTTGAAATTATTTGCGAAAAACACAACCAGAAGCACGACTGAAAAATCTAGAAGCGTGCAAGTAAAATTGAATACTTTCAACTGCTTCCACATTCAAATAATAATTAATATGAGCCAAATAATCCTCTCTGACATCGACAAAGAGGAAGTTATCACCTTCATGAAGCAAAATTCATTTGAAAACATATCTTTGATAAGCAACAATACAAGGTTCGGCAGCTTCAGTCTTCATTTCCGCGGGTCAATATGAGTGGAAAATAATAATTGTTGATTATGGTTTACATAAGCCTTTTTTCAAAGCTGTCATTGTGTTTGAACTAGAAGATTGTTCCCAAAATTGTTACCATAATTTGTGTGTTGATAATCCAGGTGACATGAAAACGAAGTAAAATCCTTAGCAATAAAAAAATAGCTGAATATTTATCGAGCTATCTGAGAGCAATAAAACTGTAGATAAGAGTTGAATAAGTCATGGCGTTGTATACACGATTTAACATCATTCCAGTAGGTATAATTTTTTTCGTTTTTCCCTTATACTCTTCAACATACTTGAACTCTTCGCGGTTTTGGAGGGACATACCACAGTCGCCAATATAATCATACATCTTCCTCATTATAATCAAAAATAGAGTAAAACATGAATGCGGAACTTTTTATGCCATATTAGTAAACATTGTAACAAATAATTGTATAAGAACCTTTGAACATTCTTTCATCCATAAAACAAATATATAGTACTTTTAATACTTATTATAAGGGAAAAGGGAATTTATTATAAGGGAATACTTATTAAAGGGGAAAGCGCCAAAAAATAACTGATTCGTTCAAAGATTTAATCGTGATTAATATTATTATGAATAAATTTATTCACTCAAATATCGTGCCTATCTAATACCATAAAGTTCTTCTGGTTATGAGTTTGCACAGTTTTCCGCGTTTAATCACTTCCTTACGTGACTGGTCACTTAGGCAAACATCAACACGTACATCTGCTAAGTTCAATTTTATTAAGATATTTGTGTGACTAGCTAACGCCGTTAGGAATCCAAAAGAATTAAATTCTAATAGAGAATAAATGCCTTTGGTATCTCGATTAGATAAAGGTAGAAGCATATGAACCCAAGTATCAGCACACAATGTTATTCATAATTATTAATTTCCAGCGCTAAATTGAAATTAATTAAAATTTATTCAATAAATTGAATAAATTTATTAGTCTAGTTCACTGTGTATAAACTGTTTATGAAAAACTGTATGGCAGAGCGGTGTGGATTACTCTCGCTAAACACAGCCTCGTTCTTAACAATTTTTGCAGAGGTATAACTTAAGTGGGGCGATTTTTTAGCTCTGAATGAACTATTCATCCTGAACTATTCCCGATAGTTCAGGATGACGATGCAGTATTCGGAGCTCAAAAGAAGATACCGGTATCCTGCACCACGTAGCGAATAGTGGGCGAGTAGAAAAAAACCGGTGGCAAATAACCATTTTGTAGGAAAATTTGATTTGCATCAAGTATCAAACTTTCTAGGAAAAGGTGCGACAACAACAAAAAATATCGCATTTTATAAGCGATTTCATTTGCTATTGATCATGCAATGACGATCCAGTCTTCATGTGGTAAAATACCTGCAAATTTGAACAGGATTAGATATTCATAACGAGAGAGCCATTATCCCATTCATCCATCCAACGTAAAACTTTCAACAGTTGAACAACAGTTTATTTCAAACCAATCATTTAAAAAAATTTAGAACCTAATATTCCCTAAACGGTTGGTAAAACGCCCAACAAGGACTGAACACCTCTGCAGCAGACGCACAGCACCCTTCCAACAGGAGATATAAAACTTTAGCAACTGGTGGTAAAACACCAATGAAACCGATACAACACCAATGCAACACTGGCAGGTCCACTATAGTAGCAGGCGGTACAACACCCTTGCAGCAGGCGGTACAACACCCTTGCAGCAGGCGGTACAACACCCTTGCAGCAGGCGGTATGCAGGTATGCAGGCTTTACAACACCCTTGCAGCAGGCAGTACAACACCCTTGCAGGTATGCAGGCTTTACAACACCCTTGCAGCAGGTGGTACAACACCCTTGCAGCAGGCGTCTATTAAAAATGCAATCGAAATTTTGAGTCTTGAGCATGATCAGAAGGTATTGTAAGTAATTTTTTTCAACCGAAGTCGTAAAATGATTTTTACTTCCCTCTATTCCATTGAACCCGTTAAGACATATTGCGTTCTCCCTCAATAAACCCTTAGGAATAGGAATAGGCGACTTTCATGATGTAACTTGTTTCAGATTTGTACAAATGCGGGCTCTGTGGACGTCGAGCGCACACCATGACAAGCCCGTGTTGCAAAAACTACAACTTGCATCATGCCAAAACTGCAATAGACATAAAATTAGGTCACAATTTCATCACTATTTTTATACCCTATTAAGGTTTAAATAGTTTGATAACAAAGTTCATCCTTTGCCCTCCTGAGTGTGTGATCGATCGCTCTTATCGTAGGCCCTCGGGCTAGGAGCTTAAAACTGGCTAAGGAAATTCAAATAAAATTCTCTGTAGATTAAGATTATCTACCTTGACGTCAACATGATTGTAGGATGATGAATTAAAATAAACTGTGGCTACAATATATAAGTACAACAACTTCAAATCCGGCATTCCCCAAGATTACTTTCAAATCTGAGAATTTTGTAGATTTGAAATAGACAATTCATAATCCGTAGGTACGGATGCCAGATTAATCACGTGAATATTCAAAATAATTTAATTTGAATGAAGCTAATCAATTAATTGAACAAAGCCCTGTTCTAATCCATATTCAACATAGATTTTACATTCAAATGAGGATATTATAGTATACTAACTCTTTCACAATCAAACTCCACGATAGGTTGCGCATTGTTATATGACTCATGACTCTAAGTTGAAATAAAATTTCGGTCTAGGTAATGTCCCAGAACAATTCGAAATGAGAGTACATATGTTCGAATAAATAATTTTAAATATTAACAAGAGCAGGCTTCAGATACAGAAATAAACACATTTAAAACATATTAAGTTACACTCGAAATTTCCTGGGAAAAGTTCAAAATTAATTTCATTAGTGTGAAATGAATATTGAAAACAAATGTAAGATTGACGAACACATCGATAGAAAATCTTTAATAGTCTTGAACTAAGAACACGTACTGTACCTGATCATATAATAACTTGACATAAATATATATAGTGATTTGGAATGGTAGATTACTCTTACAAGTAATAAAAAAAATACGGATTACAATAAATTTTAATATATGTCGTTGATCTCGGAATGAGACATTATTGAATATTCTACATCTTACATGTAGATACTTTTCTTTAAATTAAATCAAATGTGTCATAATTTGAAGCTACATGCAATGACATATAGGCTATCATTTGGTATTAAGATCTCGGCAATTAAGTTGACGTCTTCCGTCATTCTTATCAAGCGATAGATCATTTGTTGTCAGTGAATTAGTACATAGTTGACGTCCATTCAAATACTTCGCTTGTAAGTACAGAAGTGAGCCAGTGTAACGGTTGAACCCTGCTGATCTGCTGGTCATCGTCTGGGCTACAGATATCGTTAACAGAAGTGAAAACGTTTAATATCACCATTAGTCAATCTACTCTTTAACTTATCGTCCAGCAACATAGTGAATTTAGATATTCCAATGTAGGCCAAAAATTTGTTTACGAGAAACTGGTTGAAATTAAAAAGATCAAGAATTTAAAAAGATAAAGCGTTAATAGGTTAAGTAATTGTACTACAAAAAATGCTGTATCTATATGTTGTTATGAATATAAATTGAAATGAAAATAGAATATAAATAACAGTGATACACAAGACTACAATAACTCACTGATATGAAGCATTAATAAAATTTTGAGCTTTATCTTCGTAATTTCACGAATAAAACCCTTTAATTACGATTGACACTGATTTTTCAGGCCAGACATGGACCCAATAAAGGAGCTGGAAAAGATGGTCGAAACGCTGCCGCAAGTGATGCAGCATAGCGGCGCCCCTCAACGGTCAATAAATGCGTGTTATAAAGTCTACGTAACAATATAACTCACACGAGTGCTCGATTATTCTCTTTAATAAAACAATGTATGATTATTGTACGAGTATCTAACAATTCACCAAACAGAACTTTGTGCGGTCTTAATGCTCAACATTTCGGGCTACGGTTAATTTAATTAAAGTCACGATTGCTTGCATGCAGATCGATAAATTCCCTTCAAAAAATGAAAATTAATACCCGCAAAATGTCCAAATAGCGAAATAAATTTATAATAAATTACAGAACAGCAACGTTGTCCGACCAAAAAGATAGTGCTAACCTGTTTTTTTAATGTTTTATTGTTCCAGATGACAAGTGCAAAAGATAAAAACAAAATTTGTTTAACGCTGGTTTCCCTATCCTGCAGAATCTGCTATGACGAACTGCGAGCACGTCGGACTCTGACCGGCAAGCAGGACAGATACGGCAGCGTAAGTACTACTTTTTCTTACTTGCTTCATCATTTTCTCAACATTTTATGTGATTTTTAGCTTATCCATTATGAGGAAATAAGTCATCAGCAACTGGAATTGTCAAGTGATGTAAAAGCCAGTACATCTCATATGGCATACACTCAGGCCACAAACCTATTTTAACGGTAACCCAGTCACTGCTGGCTATGTCTCAGGCTATGAAAGCACAATTTCTGTCTCAGACATAGAAGACAAAAAACTTATAAAATGTAATCTCATAATGGAAGATTTTAGATGAAACTTTGTCAAATGATGAAACCAAACACTTTTGCATCTGAGATTTTTTCAACAATTCTCTGATTTACCGTACTGCAGCTACTATTACCAGCTTTAAAACTCACACAACAGTCATTCGGACAACGTTCCTAGAAAGAACACACGCAAAATGCTCATAAGTATATATCTGTTAAAATGAGCGGTCAAAAATTCATTTAAAATATTGAACCAGCTTTCTAGCTTCATCAATATTATTGATGAAGCTATATATTAATATTATTACTAATTGTTTCAGGTAAAAACCAATGCAGTGGCACAACGAGCACCAGGTGATTATGAGACGTCCAAGGAAAACATTGATCCGGCGCTGCAAGACTACAACTTTTGAACGCAACTCGCTTTTATTTGACTTGAGAACTTGAGACTTTCCTTGCCGGCAGGGAGACAATGTAACCGAAGTCTACAGGTCATGTTTTTCACGGGACAAATTTTTTTTACGCGCTCTTCCCATTCGTCGTTCGTTCCTGGATGATGGAATAACATTGGCTCATTTTTCCTATCAAAAGCATGTGGAAATGAACTACATTAGCAGAAACCGTTGACATAATATAAATATAAGAAAAGCAATAAAGCATTGTTTTGTTGTCATGTGGAAAGTCATCGATAATTATATCTATTGCTGATGTCATGTTTTATAAAAAGGTGAGATTGTTAAAGTAAAATTGTTCTGAAATATACAACTAAAGCCAAAGAGCAATCTCCAATATATCACATGCAGCCCGTACTACTTTACCTTCATTTATGTACATCGTCTGGAACCCAAATTAATGTATTTCAGTAATGATGCAGATATTTTATACTGTAAATTGATACTAAGTTAGGGGCGGAATTATGACCAAATCTTAATTTAGTCAGAAAAATGAGAAAGAATTTTTGTCCAAATAACTAAGCTCTTTTCGCCCTGCGTGCATAATCCTGTTCCGGTTTGCAATGCTAAAATTGTGTATCAGGGCCTAGGGGCAGGAAGTGTCACTATATATTTTGACAGTATGATCCATTCATTTTTGTGTGTCAACCATCTGCGATCCATTCATGATCCATTGATTTTGTCTACCATCTGCGTTGTAACGTACTTCGAGACATAGAGCCTACGGTTGCGATTAATTTCGCTTTACACATCATTCGTTCTTCCGGTCACTCAGATTTAAAATATAGTCCTTCAAACTTTTCTGCAACGGAGTAGTACACCACTAAACTGCAACGTTCTTGCTTTACTTGCGTTCTTCATGGGCTGTATCACTACTAATATAGGCTGCCCCAAAATTGTTTACCATGAATTTAATATAATTATTAACAAATTTGTATATACTCACAGCCAGCATAAATACCATAAAATGATTTAATGCAACTGCGTCACCAGTGATACTCACAACCCCAGCCATATCAATCAGATTCGCACATATTTACACTTCTAATAAAATATACTGTTTTTGCACTGTTATTACACTGATAATACATGGTTTCATTTAGGTTAACGTGGATTAAAGTTGTTCCTCGGAAAAATAATCTTTGCATTATCATGGTAAACCATAATTCAATTGTAACCAAAAGTTCACTGAACTAAGTCAGTTTAACAGATGGTCACTTCAGGCTGAACGCCTTAACAACAAACTTATAGGAAGTATCTTTAAATTATCATTGGAAAACCTTATTGAAATCTTACCAGTTATTAGATTTATTAGAACGATGCAAATGAATTAAATCAATACGGTATTTTCTTTCTCAATCATAGTGACGCTCAAGTTAGTTAACATATAAAACCATGTAGCTACAAATAATTTAAAATACCGCTACCATTTACACGTATTACATATTTCCTGAGAACAAATACTAACGTGTTCGCTATCCTCATCGTAATGTATTTTTCGCCAGAAACTACTGTGCTAAGTTGTGAACTTGCGTCAGCACTGCGACCAGAAAACTTTCAACGAACTCATTCTAGACAAGAAGCCTTTCCACTTATTCCAGGACATCCTACAGTCAAGGAGGGAGAGAAACTGATGCAGGTCCCTCACTCTGAGGTGGCTATTGCATCACATGCCAACAACATCCCAATTATAATGAGATTAGGAAATTTAAGACTGAGAAGTTATGATTTAAAGAAATGATCCTGCATATGAATAATGCTTCTGAATCACAAATGTACACGCTGGATGTTTGACGTGATATATCATATAAGAAGGCATTGCATTATTTCTCCAAGCCAATAGGAGTAATTTAAAAAAAAATAACATGAAAGTACATATAAGTCCAAAATATCCACGCGCTTGAAATGAAAAGATGCTTCAAACAAATCAAAGAACAAAGCCAACAGCTGGCGTGATGTAGCATAAAATTCTAATAACTTCTTAAGGCGTTACAGGGATTCAGCAATATTCATGTCTATTGTAAATATATCCACTTCTTATAGGAAGTAGGAATTATATTTTTTGGTACAACAAATAACTGGAGGAAGAACTCAAATGTATGTGGCATGTGAAGCGTGGCTAGATGAAGGAAGCCTCCGGCACCAGAGCCAGCGAATATGGCGGGGCACCGCACAGTCTCGGGGCGACGGCGTGCCATGCAGCCTACTGCAGCGCCACTCCGGTACTGGCGGCTTTCTAGGTTACATTTCTTTAGATTTTAGCGTTGTTGATAGTGATGTTTTCTAATACAAATGAACACAGCCATAAAAATAAACACAAAAATTAGACGTATTTTATTAAAAACTTTAGCAGATGCGATCTCCGATTCAGCGTGTAATGACTGAATCAACGTGAAAAAAAATAGAAAAATTGGTTGCACTCATTCCCGTGCAAATCAAACTAACAGCAAATTATATTAAACTAATTACAACAATAAAATATATATATTAATATGATCAACAAATATTCATATCAAAGTGTGGGTGACACGTAAAGTGCTGCAAAAACTGTAGTAATTATAATGTAATTGTCAATGGGCAAATGGTCAAGTTAAATGAAATCAACTAGGACATTATAAACTATTGTGGACACAAGTGTAACCGTAGCGCGGGCTCTTTCTTGCAAATTTAATCGCCGTTACTACATTCATCAACATCTTTGGCAAAGTTTTTTTTATTTTCCGATAATGTTTCGTTTTGATCATTGTAATGCATCAAATATGCAAATATGTTTACTTCACACACATCAAGTTACAACTTTGGTGTGATGCAATTTTCAGAAATATCAAGACGAGTTTTTTTTTTTTTTTTGAAAAGTTAAACGAAGAAAAATAATTTTTGAAGTGACCAGAAATAAACAGAAATTTACAAAATACTTTATACTAAAAAATGAAAATTATCATTTCCGGTGGAGATGAAGCTAAAGATCGGTCGGAAGGTCGAACAATCCGAATGTTGTAGTTAATTTAAATGCGCGCAAGATAAATGAAATGTATACCGTACTTTAAATGGTAATGTTCCATCAGTTGATATTATAACTCGTCTAGGTGGCATGCTGTGGCCGCCTCGATCTCTGCGGGTCTGATTTCTTACTCGGCATATTTGAGGAAGAAGGTCAATATTGAAAAGCCTAATCGCTTCCCAACATTAAAAATAAACATCATTTAATGCATAAAGCCCTAACCTGAGACAGCTACATTCTACCAGGGACGTTCGTTCACTAACAGCAACTTTGCACGAGTACGCTACTACTAGGCCCACAAACAGACAAACTCCAACTGTATTGGGTTGGTTAAAGGTTAAGTGCTCTTTATTGCTCAATACTCGACTCTACATGTACATTCAAGTTGAAATTCACCCTCACGTTTCAAAGTACCCAGTATTTCTCAAAAATCGTTATTTACTGTCATCAGTAAATACGAGAACGCTACTACTAGGCCCACGAACAAACTCCAACTGTATTGGGTTGGTTAAAGGTTAAGTGCTCTTTATTGCTCAATACTCGACTCTACACCTGTATTTATTTTACATCATTTCTAGGATGAAAAGGTATAACAATTATAGCTAACCTTGTAGATAACTTCGGAAAATTTGTTAATGTCTTTATCATCGATTCACCTCGTTAGAATGACGTATTTATTTTACATCATTTCTAGTTGCACTGGCGCGGATATAAAATAATACCTGTGAGTGAGCAATACAAAGCGTATCACGAAGATTGCCTGCATTGTATCATCGAGGTGTTTGCAACAAGTTCAGTAAGTAATATTAGATCGCTTTGATCACGAGTTTATTAATAAACCTAATCTTTTACAAGTACAAGCTTCTAACTTCCAGTTCAGGCTAGAATATTACGATAAACAGTGATCAGGAATAATACAGATAATTAGGACTCGGAAACTTGAAGGCCAATTGCATAAAACTGATTTGGCCATCCAGACGACTGAATGACGTCAACCTGTCAACCTGCACGAGCGTGGAATCACCATATGGAACCAAGCGCACCATTTCTTTAAAATGAGTCGTCGACCCCCGACGCGAAAAAGTGACTAAGCACTTCGTCTAGCGACGGTAACTCTTTTACAGGTATTGGATTGTACTGCATCATAGACCAAAATTCGATTCCATTTTCGAATGAGCACGAATTTTTAAGGCTATGATGTTTTAATAAATAGAATATCGTTTTTTATCATTTAAAAAAGTGTGTACGTCAAAGAAAATAATGGCTATGTGATATGAAGATTAATTTCATAATTTACGGGTCAATCGCTTC